TTGTGTATGTTGTTCAGTGTCAGGAGGGTGATCAGTCTTACATCGGGGAAACTAAACAGCCACTGGCCAAAAGGATGGACCAGCACAGAAGATCAACTTCATCAGGCCAGGACTCTGAGGTCTACACTCATCTCCAGGCCAGTGGTCACTCTTTCAGGGATGAAGATGTTCACATCCTGGACAGAGAGGAACGATGGTTTGAGAGAGGAGTAAAGGAGGCCATCTTTGTGAAAAGAAACTGTCCATCATTAAACAGGGGTGGAGCCTCCAGGTTCAACTGTCCCCCTCTTACAATGCTGTGATTGCTAGTATCACTCAGCCCTCTGTGAACAGTAAACAGCCATCAGGTGCTAATGATCCATTGTTAGGCTGATGGTCCTTCTTGAGCATGTGATCAGCTGGTTTTGGTTGTCAGCAGCAAAACTGGTTGATCCACTCTGAGAAGGTGCTATTTAAGAGACTGAGCTGAATACAGCTCCTCAGACTGAGGAAGTCTCTCGGATGAGAGACGAAACGTTTCTACATTTTTTTGTTGATTTGCTTTGTTTTGTTTTTTTGAATGTCCAGAGGACCAGATTTAACTTTTTTAGATTTTTCTACCTGGATTATTGAGCATGCATCAGGATAAATATTCTCCATGGTCTTCTGTCCCATCTTCTGCTCATGCTGAGTCCATTGTTGAAAAATGACAAAATATAACTCCTAAAACTGCTAAAACTTGATGCCACTTGGTTTTTATTTTTATTTACAGAAGAAGAAGACGTGTCTTCAGAGGTTTTTGTGTCGTTTCTTTCAGTAGTTCTTGGTGCAGCGCCCCCACAGGCGAGCAGGGGAACAGGTTGCTTCAACAGGTTGACTCGACTGTACAGTGCAGTGTGAATGCAAACGCACCAGCTCAAATGTAACAAAAGGTCATGAATATTGGTCCAGAACTGAACCGAGTCTACCGGACTATCAGCTGTGAAAACAACCTTAGAGACTGAGCTGAATACAGCACCTCGGGCTGAAGAAGTCTTTCGGATGAAAGACGAAACGTTTGTACATTTTTTTTGTTTCGTTCTTTTGAATGTCCAGAGGACCAGATTTAACTTTTTTAGACAGGTACTGGTAGCTTTGGCACTGTGTGCAGGGGCCAAGTCCTGTTGGAAAATGAAATCTGCATCTCCATAAAGTTGGTCTGCAGCAGGAAGTGGTCTAAAACTACCTGGTACATGGCTGCGTTGACCTTGGGCCCCAGAAAACACAGTGGACCAACACCAGCAAATGACATGTCCAAAGTTCTGTTCTCTGATGAAAGTTAAAAAAAGTAAAAGACCCATAGCTTCAAGCTCAAATGAAGAAGAGCCTTCAAGATTTACATTAGTTTTATTTAAAAGACATTATCTCACCAGAAGCCAGGCTATGCCACTCAGAAGATTTCAGGGTTTTTTAGCCTCACAATTTGTATAGCACAAGTCTGGTTCTGTTTGGCCCAATTACTGTACTTTGAAATAAAAACTAATGTTAAGATGGACTTGTCCTACTCATTTTTGTGGAGGTTATTTTTATGTTCATGGATGATTTTGATCATTAACCTGGACTTGTTATACTCCAGGGTTGTATCCAAGTCTCAATTCTGCCCATGTCAGACGAGGGTCAGCCAAGTACGAGAAGATGATGTCATTTCACTTCACTAAAATCACAGATTCAAAGTGTTTTCACTGGTTTTGTTTTCATACAAAATTGAAAAGTATTATTCAAGCATAAAACTAGTACATACCAAATACAATTTATTATGTCTAAAAACAGTACAACTTAACTTGTTCAAAAATAATAGATTTAGAATGTATTTTCTAAAAATTTTGCAAATACATTTAATATATTAAATATCAGTATACTTAAGTGCATTTCATTTTCACCTGGGAATACGATGAACAGCAGCACGAACATGAGTCTGTGTGAACAGATGAGCACGAATGAACACAGCAACATGAAACAGATCAGCAGCAACACTGAAACAGATCAGCAGCAACATGAAACAGATCAGCAGCAACA